GTTACCGACGTCATCGAGCCGAGTGTCCAGAATGCGGCCAGGGACGAGAGGGGGGGAAGAGACTATAGGGCGCTCCACGCCGCAGCATTCACCGCGATCCTGGGAGGCAACAAAACGCAAACATAAGAATCACCGCACTACCGACGCGGTGAAACAGGGGGGGCAAGAGGAGGAGAAAGACAAGTCCTTCTTCAGATGATGGAGCACGTCGCGCACCTCGGCTTCGTTCCCGCGTGCCCCCTGGATGGCCACGGTCGCGCCCCCTTCAGAAGTTTGCCGAGGTGGCAATGACGGCGGAGACGAATGCCGTCCCGATGGTGCTGCAACGAGCTCGCATTCCAAGTCGCAGCTCGACAAGGTACTGGGTGGCGGCGGCCACTCCACAAAACGCGCATGCTGCTAAAGATGCCACTCCGTATCCTCAGCCGCACGACTGAGACGCTCTCGAATGCGCGGCTCAGGGACAGCACGATCAAACCCTTCGCCTTGAATGTTGGCCGCCACCCACTTGCCGATCGGGTCCCCATTGCCCTCATGGGGCTCCGCGCAGAGCAGCGGCTGCCAGTTGATACTGATCGTCCCCCTGACGCGGTCGGTGAACACCTTGCGCTACAGGTAGTACTCCTTGAAGACACTTTTGACCGCTTTGACCGCCGGCTCCGTTTGTGTATGCATCGCATTCTTGTCGGGCCCCAAGAAGATCGAAAATATCCGAGTGATTGGAGAACTTGCCTGCTGGCCCAACCCACATCGCCACCGATCCGCACGAGGAAGCGCCTGCCCGTCGGTTCGCACTCCATGTTCCACTCGTTGTCCGCCAAGATCTGCTCCTGAATAAATGGCCGCAACACATTCGCCACAGCCTCCTTCGCCATCTGCTCCTTCGTGCGCACCACAATGACCGTCGCGTCGATCTCCCTCTGCCACACTGCCGAGGAGACAGCTGGCGGACGAGCAGGTCCTGCTGAGCGTGCCAAGCCCAGCTCCGTCTTGAGGTGCTTGAGCTCGCTCTCCATTGACCCGATCTTCTGTCAAGGAAATCGCTGCTGCTCGAGAACAGGACCCGGTCGTGCATCCACCTGGTTCGCAAGCAGCGTGCAGGACTCAACCACCTCCGCCTGCATGTTGGTGACCGTCGTCTGCAGCGCGGCCACAGACTGCTGTCACTTCTCCACGTCGCCCGAGAGGTCGGCGCGGAGTGACTCGATGAAGGCGCGCGTGTCCTCCCCGTTGCCGTGCGTGCCGTCGATGATCTCGAATCCGCTGCCGCTGCCAGCGGTTGATCCCTGCTCGACCGCAGGGCGTTCGACTCCTGTCTGCGATGCCATCTTCTCGAACTCGCCTCGCAATCAGTTCCAGTCACGCCCACGCGCCAGAGCTGGCCTTGCACCCAAAGGCAATGTGAGATGAGAAGTGTAGTGGAACAAGTGGGCGCGCGATGGCGCGCCGTCCTGCGCTGTGCAGGCACGAAAGCTTGGGCCCGCTTGGGCCAACATGGCTACGGACCTCCTCCTCCTCCTCCTCCTCCTCCTCCTCCTCCTCCTCCTCCTCCTCCCATGTCCATCCACCCCCGCCCCCTGAGGTCTTGTGGAGGCCCCTGGAAATCTCTGACAGACTTGGACGGCCCGCGAAAGTCACTGCATCCCGCCTGCAATTCCCTCAGCCATCAAAAACCTGAACAACGAAAGCTCGATCACGTCTCGACCCCTCCTCACCCTTCCGCCTTTCTCCCTCCTCGTCTTCTCCAGGACAGGCTGGACTGGGCCAGCCAGGGTCATGTCGCGAACCCGGGGTGGCCACGAAGTAGCTCCCGAATTTGGGTCAGCAGAAGGAGGGGCAGCGGGTCGGCTCCACATGGCTCCCAAGTCCCGGGCAGCCACTGTGGATCAGAGGGAATTGGTTCACTCCACCGTTAGGATTGATCCAAGTAGTTGCGCTCTCGGACTAGTTTTTCATCCATAATGTTTTTTGTTATGGCCCCAGGACCTGGGGGAGGGAACCCTGAAGGTGTTTAATAGCTTAATCATTCCAGGGCCTGGGGGAGGGCCCGGGGGGGCCTAAAACTGCCAAAACCTCCAGGACCCCTTTTCTCCAGGAGCCCTCTCCTTCACGCTGGGAGCAGGGCGCGGAGGAGAGGCGTCCGAGAAAGTGGCCCGACGGGGGGGGCCCCACATCCGACGCGGTGAGTTGTCCGATCCGCGGGCCCAGAACTCCCGACCACTTCCCTGGGTGCAGTGTTTCGCCCCAGATGGCCACGGGGGCCCGATTGCCCCGCCCTCCCCTGGAAGCCGAGGTATGTGAACAAAGCTGCGATGATCTGCAATGTGTATACCGTGACATTCAGGATGTATACACCAAAACCCTCGATACCTGCCCTCGTCGTCTTGGGTCGTACCCCCTTTGGGTGTTATCCTTCCTTGCCTGCTACGTGCAATTGGCGCGGCCCCAAACACAGGAGGAGGCGGAGGAGGAGGAGGGTTACACAACAAGGGAGAAAACGAGGAAAGGAGGAAGAAACGAGGAAGGAGGGGGGCAAAAGGAAGAGACGAACATTGAGGGCAGCAAAGATTCAGCAGGACGAGGAAAACAGTAGGCAAGGAAACGCGACGATGAACACTCCAGGGGGGGTGGCCCTCTAAGAGCTCGGCGGGGGCGCCGGAGCGCCGAAACTCAAATGTCGAAGAGCACGCTTTCTACAAGATCCGGGATTCGCATTATTGACGCCATTGAGACAGTTCTTCCCGTCAGCTTGATAATGGAACGCCATGCAAAGAAGAGGCACGGTTGCCTCACATACGTTTGCGCGATACTACCTATCACCTCAGCCATGTGTATTGCAATCTGCGCATGCGTTCCAAAAACTCGTCTTGCTAAACGGGCCTCCCGTCCCATTGACATTTGCTGCATACTCTCCGCCAAAGAGAAGAACGATGCATGGCATCATAGCGCTGCTCCACTTCATCCCTGGATAAGTTCGTGTGATTTGGATTTGGAAACGTTGATTTGCAATTCAAGAGTTGGTTGCCAAATGTTCCGAACACCAGATCAATGTAATTTGCTTCGTTGTTCGCATCGACGAACAAACTGATGTTTGGTTGAATACTCGCTATGAGATCGTCGATTGTGGCCTCCGCCTACTTGATCGTTTCATCTTCGCTGGACGCGCGACTCGCCTCACAAGAAGAAACGTCATCTCGGTTCAGGTTTTCACTGCTGGCATCGCCACGGATGTTTGACATGCGTTCTGACTGCTTCACGACCCTTTCCAAAAATGAGAACTTGGGAACTTCGACGACTTGCTCGACGGCTGCCTGCCCAACCTGCCTGCCCAACCTGCCCGTGCATCAACATAACAAATTCTCCCTTGTACTGCTACAGTCGGCTCCAATAGGTCAGGGTGCTGACTTCATTGATTTGGCTGCACCTCTGCACACAAACTGTGGAACTCGATTTTACCTAGCCCGCGGATTATATCGAACTGAAAATTCGATATCGCGACGAGTTTCTCGATAACACTTCTGCAAACTTTCTGCGTTTCTCCGCGGGTCTGGTATGTTGCCATCGCCTCTCCAAACAAGAGTCTTTACTGTTCAAACTGTCATTCCATTGCTTTCTGGCCCATGCCATGGCACCGAATCGATGCATTAAGGGGACACTTGCGGACAGATCAGGGGGAAGAGAGATGAGCAATAAACTTGGCAAGCGGATCCTGACGGGCGGGCCGGCTCTAACGGGCGGGTCGGGCGGGCGGACCCTAATGGGCGTGTCGGGCGGGGCATCAAAGCTGACGGGCGGACTTCCAAGCGCACGGAAGGCTGGACCCTGGCGGGCAGGTCGGGCGGGCGGACCTAATGGGCAGGTCGGGCGGGCGGACATTAAAAGGCGGGTCGTGAGGGCGGACAATGACGGGCAGGTTGGGCAAGACATTGACGCTGCCGGGCGGGCTTCCAAGCAGGCGAATGGGAGAACCCTGACGGGCGGGTCGGGCGGGGAGACCCTAACAGACTGATCGGATCAACAACCATCAATTTAAGACTGTTCGCTCTTAGTTGCTCGCGTGTCGTTCAACATGTATACCCCGAACCCTCGGTACCCGCCTTATTCGTCTTAGGTCGTACCGCCTTTGCGCGACTACTGAAATAAGAGGGGGAGGAGGGAAACGGAAAAGGGAAAGAGAGAGGAAAGGAGGAGGCAACGAGGAACGAGAAGGGCAAGAGGAAGGGATGGGGAGTGAGGTCGACAAAGATTGAAGAGGGCGAGGAAAAAAGAACAATCATTCTGGCAGGCGGGCCCTGACGAGCGGGTCGGGCGAGCCGACCCTAACTGGCGGGTCGGGCGGGCGGACCCTAACGGGCGGGTGGGGCGGGCGGGACGTTAAAGCTTCAGCGAGAGCTTCCAAGCACGTGGACGGGCGGACCCTGACGGGCAGGTCGGGTGGGCGGGTCCTGACGGGCGGGCTCGGCCGGGCGGACCCTAGCGAGAGGGTCAGGGGTCAGGCGGGACATTGAAGCGGGCTGGCGGGCTTCAAGCATGCGAACGGGCGGACCCTAAGAGGCCGGTGGGTAGGGCAGACTCTAACGGGCTGGTCGAGCGGGCGGGCCCTAACGGGCGGCTTGGGCGTGCGAGGAGTCGAGGCGAACTTTGCAAATTGCGACGAGGCTTCAGGCGAGAGCACAAGTCCTGAGTAAATTGTGAGGATGTCTCGTGCGAAAGCGCGATTCCTGGGCGTCGGGGGCGCGGGGCCTCAATAAATTGTAATGGAGTCCTGAGCGAGAGCGCGATTCCTGAGTAAGTTGTGAGGAAGTCCCGCACGAGGAAGAAATTTCCCTAATGAATCGGGTGCGAGCCCCGGGGAGGGCATTTCAATTGAAGGCTGCAGTGGGCACAGCGGGGCATCAACAAGACTTGTGCAGAAATGAGAATCCGACACAACAAAACACATCCGCTGGAGGTCTGGACGGACCGGCCTCGCCGCCACCCCCAGCAGCCCCGCGGCCCTCCGCGTTCTTGGCCGCCATCGCCGCTCGCAATACGTCGACCGACCTGCCGCGGGCGCGCCACCCACGTGGCAGGTGCCACCGCCGCGGCCCGCGCCCTCTCCGCCGGCCCCGGCCCACCCTCGTCGAGGAAATCACAACGGCCACTGTTCTGAGATCTCGCCCTCTGGAACCGGCTTCCTGGCCCCGCGGAGGAGGAGGTCTCGACTTGACTACGCTCGGCATCATTCGCGGCCCATGACCCTTCTAACTCACGAGCCGCATGGTGCGCGCTGCTGTCTGCCTACGTATATAAGATCGTCATGTACTTCTATTTGTACCTGAACATGGGTGTGCAAAAACACACACACCAAATGTTGAAGGGTCGATCCGTTTCGGCTTACGCATCGCCCATGGAGAGCGAGAGGCGCAAGGGGACTTGGGAGCAGGAAGGGTCGGAGAAGCTGGGCGAGTGGCTGGAGGGGGAAGTAGAGGAGGAAACGAACCCCTTGTCACAACATTTGGTTTTGCTAGCCTTGCGCAGGAATCGCCGCTGCAACACAGAATCCCTAGCAGAATTGGCTTTCGACGCGTCTACCAAAGGCATCTTTGAGCATGCATCATGAGAAAGATGAGGAGGGCGGAGGGGCAAAATTGAAGAGACGAGTGGGTTGAAACGGATTAGTGATGGTGGTAGGCATCTGGGGGGATGTTTCTCATCCTTCTCCAAAAAATCCGTTTGACGTTCCTCCTTTTTTCAATTATCTTTTTCCTCCGCCTACACGGAACTATCGTGTTCCTCTTTTGGGGTAGTTTTGAAGCCCAACCAACCCATCGCGGCCATAGCTGGGCCCCCATTGGGACTTATTAGTCGCCCCTCGCAGCCACTTTAAAACCATGCCTGTCTTTTCGGGCTCTCGCGGGGCCGCTTCGGACCCTTTCCGTGCAGCTGTTTGTTGTGCCAAATGCGGAAGCATTTAGGGCTCGCCAAGACCCTTCTTGGGCCGTCTGGGTTCCTTCATAAAGCCTCCTCTGACTTGGACTCACTTTGGCCTCTCTGGGCCGTCCCGGGCGCTCTTGGGGCCCTCCGGTGATTTCTTCTCCTCTTGGTTTTCACTGGGTCTCTACTCGGCAATTTCTGTTACGTCTTCTGGCGATTGTGGGATCTTACTTGGAGGCTGCGAAACCCGAACAGGCGATCACACCGACGACTTTCGACATCAATTAGGTGTTCAGAAGCTTCGGCCGCCCGGATGGGATGCGTGCGTTTTCGGGGTCCACCTAGGGCCCGTCGGAGCTCCCGTGGCTTTCTTGGGGGGACCATGGGGTTGGGTATGGCTGGGTTGCGGGTGTGCTTGAAGGGGGGCCTGGAGAGGGGGAAGGCGCGAGGGAAGGCGCAGAAGAGATGGCGACGAAGTGGGGGTCTTATTGGAAACCTCTTAGGAGCTCTTGGAGCTGTCTTGGCGCGCAGGAGAACTGGATTGGGCACGTCGAGAGCGCAGAATGATCAACGACAACCAAATTACATCTGCAAGAAGCGTGCAGCAACATGCAAGACTGCGCGTGCAGTGATCAAGCGGGTCCCCGACTCAGGAACAATTCGTAGAGGATGAAGAGACCAGGAGCCTTTGGGGAAACGTGTTCGGGGCCTCTCATGGACTGTGGCGTCTGGGTGGCGTCTTGGGGGCATTTGGACCCTCGTGGGGGCCTGCTCGCGGTAAGAGGAAGCCGTTTGGAGATGCCTTGGGGTATCCTGCGGTGCTTCTTGGAACATCGATTTGGAGGTTTCCAGAAACCTGTCGGTGAACATCTTCTGGGATGTGGACGCGGGGCCTCTGAGAGGCGTCTCGGGGACTCTGGGGAAGCCTCTCCGGAGCCTGTTGCAACCTTTTTGGGGCATCTGCGGGCCTCTTTGGGGGTCTCGTGGGGCATCTGGGGGGCATCTTGGGGCCTCCAGGGGGCTCCTGGGGTCCAGTTGGTTGTCCTGCCTACTTGGGTACCTGTCTTGGGTCGCTCTTGGGATTTTCTTTGGCCCTCTTGAGTGGCCTCTTGCTTCGTTACCCCTCAAGGCATCAACAAAGACTCGACGTGTTGGCCAGGCTTGGTAGTGCACAGAGCGGACGACAAACTGCACAGACATAAGGAGTGCAACGAGACGCTATCGATCCCACAGCCACCAGAAACTCAATCTCATCAGGAGAGGCCATACTGAAATACTTACAATGTTGGTATCTCGATCCAGAGTGTCCGATGCTGGGCAAGACGCTCAATTGCATTTTGAATGTCAACGCATCGACCTTCATTGAATGGCACTGCATCAGCATGCCTCCAAAAGAAAGAAAGCACCGAAGCGGGCTCGCATTCTGTTTCACTCACAATCCTCAAGACGAAAGCAGCTCCATCCTGTCACGGAGGCATGGCAATCATCTGCGCACAGAAGAAGTGAAAACTGCGAACATGATGTGAAGAAGAACGTGTGGATACTATTGTTTTCAGAAGCTGACAATAAATGGCATGAACTGAGACAAGGCGTATGCCGGTCGCAAACGGCTGTTCCGTACATCTGGCACTAAAGATGCACTGTCGTCGGTACACCTCATAATCAAATTTGAGTACCATTCAAATGCACTCCAAGTTTTTATTCTCCAGCCATCGCCCATTGCACAATGGGTTCAAGCTGCGGTGCCCTGGAGAAGAATATCTTTGGTTCTATTGGAGCATACTGTTTCTTCGCTCGGTTTGAGCTTGACTTCATCAACCACTAGAGTGATACAGCCTGAATTGGCTGATCAGTACCAAAATATATACTACACCACCTGCGTTTATCTCCTGTTGGGCATCCGCGGATGTGGTCCATCTGCGGTTGTTGATCGAATGTTGCTATCTAGAGCGTGCATCTTCTCATCGTTTCTCAAGTTTGCCTCCAAACGCAAAACTAAACTCTGCCAGGTTCTCGGCCGCATGCCACCATTGGCCGGGGATCCGAACAATCACCCGGACAAAATAAATGCGCCTCGTTCCAAGAGGCAGATTTTCAACTGTGTTAGCCTACGATTTTAAGTCATGGCAGAGCCTTTGCCATGTCTGTTGATGCTTGCGGGACAAATCCACTGTTCTTCGGACCAGCCCTGATCATTTTCAGAATCACGTCTCTTTTGAACAAAGAAAACACGTCATCATGATATCCGAAGGAAGGCGTTTCACGGGCGCTCGCCTTGGGAACATTCGGCGGCGCGTGTCGAACCGGGGGGTGCGGCCCCCACTTTAACGCTCGGCGCCGTCGATCAAAACCAGGGGACTCCGCTCCCTCCCACCCACCCCGCCCGAACCTCCCCCCCTCCTTCCCAAGGGGGGAGGGGGTTCAAACGCTCCCCCCCCCCCGGCGCTGGCGCCGGCGGCCGCCAGCAACGCCGACGGCGGGGACGCAGCGACGATGACCAGAGGCAGCCCAAGCGAGCGAATGGGGGGGTGTTCAACCCCCACCCCCTCCCCCCCCTTGGCGCCGAGGGAAGGGCGTTTCAACCCGGCGCTGGCGCTGGCGGCGGCCAGCAGCGCCGGCGCTGGCGCCGGCGACGGCGGGGACGCAGCGACGATAACCACCACTTCCACCACCACCACCACAGCCACCACCACCACCACAACCACTACCACCACAACTCACCATCACCACCACCACCACCAAAAAAACACCACCACAATCTACCACGCCGCCACCACCACCGCTACCAGCAACACAACCCACCACCACAACCACCGCCACCACACCACCACCACCACCGCCACCACCACGACCACCACCACCAGCACCACCAGCACCACCTCCACAAACCACCGCCACCACCACAACCCACCACCACCACCACAACCACAAACCACCACCACACCACCACCAAACCACAACCACCACCACAACCCACCACCATCACCACCACAAACCACCACCACAAACCACCACCACACCACCACCACCTCCACCACCACAACCACCCCCACCACCACAAACCAGCACACCACCACCACCACCACAACCACCACCACCGCCACCACCACCACCGCCAGCACCACCACCACCACAACCCACCACCACCACCACCACCACCACCACCACCACCACCGTCGTTCTCGTCGACCCTCCCCGCCGCCGCCGCCGCCCGCTGCACCGCCACGGCTCCGCCGCGGCCTTACCGCGCCTCCACGTCGCCCGACACCTCCACCATCTGGGATCTCTGTTCTTGAGACCCGCCACCGGACAAATCCTCGCCCGGAACGGACGCTGACCCTCCGCCGTGGCCCCGCTGCGCCCCCACCTCGCACGACGCCCCCACCCTCTGGGATCTCTGTTCTTGGGGCCCGCCACTGGACAAATCCTGGCCAGGAACAGACCCTGGCCCCCCGCCGCGGCCCCGCCGCGGCCCCGCCACGCCCCCACCTCGCCCGATACCCCCGCCCTCTCGGATCTCTGTTCTTGGCGCCCGCCGCCCGACAAATCCTGGCCCGGAACGGACCCTCGCCGCGGCCCTGCCACGCCGCCCCAAACCTCTGCGATCTCTGTTCTAAACATCCGCCACTCGACAAATCCTGGCCCGGAACAGCCCCGAAGTCCCACCGCGGCCCCGCCGCGGCCTCCGCCTCGCCCAACGCCCCCACCCTCTTGGATCTCTATTCTTGGGGCCCGCCACCGGGCAGGTCCCGGCCCAGAACTGGCCCTGGCCCCCCACCGCGGCCCCGTCGCGGCCCCGCCGCGCCTCCGCCTCGCACGACACCCCCCCCTCACCCCCCCCTCTGGGATCTCTGTTCTTGGGATCCGCCACTCGACAAATCCTGGCCCAGAGCAGAACCTGGCCCCTCACAGCGGCTCCACTGCGGCCTCGCCACGCCTCCACCTCGCCCGACACCCCCGCCCTCTGGGCCTTTGTTCTAGGGGCCCGCCGCCGGACAAATCTTCGCCTAGAACAGACCCTGACCGCCCGCCGCGGCCCCATCACGGCCCCGCCACGCCCCCACCTCGACAGCCTCGGCCGAGCGAGGGCCCGCCGCGCGACCCAGCGGCGGTCGCAGCCCCCCCAG